TATACATAACCCTACTCAGCTATACATGGCTATTCATAACTTTACACAGGTATATATGGCTACACATAACCCTACACAGGTATACACGGCTATACATAACCGTACACAGCTATACATGGCTATATATAACCCTATAAAGCTATAAATGGCTATACAGATCCCTACACAGCTATACATGGCTCTACACAACCCTGCACAGGTATACATATCTATACATAACCCTACACAGTTATACATGGCTATACATAATCCTACACAGCTATACACGGCTATACATATTTCGCCATTTGTCGCTAGTCGGTTAACCCTATTCAGACCTTGGTGTATGGCTGTTGTACGGCTATGGTTTTATATAAATGTGCACGGGCTGTGTATTCCTTTGTATGGCTATATATAGCTCTGTAGGGTTATGTATGGACGTGTATAACTGTGTTGGAGTATGTATATCTGTGTAGGGCTATGTATAGCCGTATGCAGCTGTGGAGGGTAAGTATAGCTTTGAAGGGCTATGTATAGCTGTGTAGGGCTATGTATAGGTGCTTAGAGCTATGTATGGGTGTTCAGGGTTACGTATAGCTGTGGAGGGCTATGTATAGCTTTGTAGGGCTATGTATAGCTGTGTATAGGGCTATGTATAGCTGTGTATAGGGCTATGTATAGCTGTGTAGGGCTATGTATAACTGTGTAGAGCCATATGTAACTTTATAGGGCTTTGTATACCTTTTTAGGGCTATATATAGCTGAGTAGGGGTATGTATAGTCGTGTAGGTTTATGTATAGCTCTGGAGGGCTATGTATCGGTATGAATCCCTAGCTATAGATATCCCTATATAGGTCTTAGTCAAACCACTATATGATAGTAACATGACGTGTTTACGGTCTCCCGTTCAGTCACCGCTGACGAAAAGCGCGGGCACTCTGGGGGCGACATCGCATGTATAATCAAGTTACCCATCATTTAGTAGAGGACGCACTGACTCTTGAACTACTGGACGGCATGTCAGGCTCGATTGTTCTCGCCATGGGTACAGTTTGACATAGAATACCATCAGGTACAAGTATTCTTGGGAAGTATAGGACAGATACTTAGTAAATAAACCCCTTCAGGCGGCTGGTATGTCGGATGCTCGCGGCTGAGGGATTGTCCGAAAAATGAAAATTTGGCCGAGAAGCGAAGCTTCAAGGGCAAATGTGAAATTTTGAGGACAATGTCTCAGCCAAGGGCATTATCAGCCGACATACCAGCAAGCCAGAAACGGGTTTATTTATTTTATAAGCCTGTCATTAATTTTCATATGGCGCGGAAACTGCTCGCAAAAAGGAACTGTTAATGTGATGGTGAATGCGTGCGATTGACGATAGCAAGTATATTTAATTGGTTTCATTAACTTTATTTCCCCTGTAATTGGACCAAAACCTTGATAAACTATCATGTGAATAAACCCTCGCAACGCGCCCCTTAGATCAAACCTCAGCGCTTTTTAGTTTAAACTCATTCGTTCGTATTTTGTTGCACTTTGCACTTTCCGGAACAGCATTTGTGATCAGCTTTTTAATCTCAATAAAACAGACTCTACGAGACGAGTTGTTTTTTCCCCTGCAAGTAAAATAATAAAGATTAAAAGTCGAAACTTCTTTCACGCTGGCTTTGTTTGTTTTCGACGGAAGTAATCGGAGGACAATTATCGAAGCAGGTGGGGGTTATTGCGTGAAAAATGTCCGGTGATTTACACCACGTGACGTACAGTACTCAATAAAATCGCGCGAAAATTAATGGGTGGGTTATGATTCACAGTATCTAGTAACTAACTCAGCTACAACCCTGGCCAAATGTCCTTGGGACTCTTGACAAAACGACAACAGGTGAGGCATTATTTTGAGGCAGGAAGTCATTATTTAATTTGCCGAAACCCCTTCCCGCCAAAAGAATGTTGGAATAGTGGGTCTACTTTGGATGACTCGACATCAACATTGTGTAGGGGGTGGGGAGGGGGAGTTGGACAGAAAGATCATATGCTGGCAAAAGCGCAAAGTGTCCCAAGACTTTTGATCAGGATTATAGTTCCTTTTCGGCCCAAAAGGTACTATCAGGCCTAAGTATTCCTGGGAATTATAACACAGATATTCTGCAGTCACTAATAACTTCGAAGAGATAAAGCGTAAAGGAAATGTTTGAGTTACTTACTACTGAGTAACTGTGGACTTCATGTGTATTTGCTTCACACATTGTAACTGAGAGATATCTTGAATCATAATAGAACAAACCTGATGTAATCTGGTTTACAAAAGCAGCGTAGTTGAGTCCTTAGAGCAGTGGAAATGTGAAAATATGTTATCTTGAGTCGTACTTTATTTTGCACGCTTTTAATTTAAGTTACATACATCACTTCTGTTAATAAATATGTCGTTTACATCACTTGCATATCGATCTTGACTAGTTTTCTGCAGTTCGTTGAAGACTGCTTGGAACACTGCATGAAATTTGTTCACAAAATTGAAAGTGCAAGAAGGGCCTTTCTGATCAGCTGTTGATGCACTCCCAACAAATGCGGTATTATAAATCAGAAAAAGAACTACAGTAGACGATCGGGAAAAAAAATCAATGTACAAACGTTGACAACTACAGCAATAACAGAAACAACACCGTAAACACGATAGATGATACTGCCTAACAAAACAAAACTAACAAATACGGTGAACATTTACAATGCTAAGCCGGGACGGTATTACACTTGTCGTATAAGGCATGCCTGCTACTCATTCAGCAACAAACAAACAAACAAGAATCTAGCTTATATCCATAGCGTCTTTGCCTTGCTTAGTAAGAGCTTCGCGGAATCTTGCATCATTACGGTCCAGGTTCACCAGACGCCTTATTCCTAACCAAAGATTGAAGAAGAAAACAAGAGCTACTTATTATATAGACGCGAGTGTTGTTGTTGTTACAAATTTGCAGACACTCTCTGGGCGCGTCACGCAACCTTTCTTCCTCTCCTGGGGGAGAAAAATTGCGTGACAAACCCAAAGAGCTTCTGTATACTGAGGAGGCCAGTCAGTTATCTCAATCAGATTATGCAAATATAACAAGACACTTTTTACCATTGTGGTGGTCTCTTCCCTGCCTCGTATCGCGCAGAGCAGCTTTCTTGTTGGGGTTATCATAGAACTCTTTGTCCTGTAGTTCTCCTTGGTGTCTGGCTTGGGCATAATGGTAAAGGAAGTTATTTACTGCTGCCTCGTCTAACCTACAAAGAAATTAAAACCGGTTAAAGAATTTCCCATTTCCAGCCACATTTCTAGGCTCGATTTCCGCCGCCCTTTCGAGTCTGGTCTAAGGTCCTTAGTCCGATCTAAGGTCCTCCTCTTCGGGGGAGGAGCTCGAGCTTCTTTCCCAAACAGCGGCTGATAATCGAACCTAACGGATTTCCCTCCGCTATATATATGCGGTTTCAATTGAAAATTCCATTATGATACCGCAGAACCTAATACAACAAAATCATCACCAATACCAGCACCTACTGGGCTGATCTTGGATCCGGCGGTCTTTGTCTTTCCGGTAATTTCATGGATTTAAATGTCATAAAGCATCTGTTCACTGGCTGAAGTTAATCAAGAAATAGGACACACAGACAAGAATCAGAGACAGTGATAGCTAAATAGCCATACTAAAACATTCCAGTAAAACGTAAAGTCTGCATATGAGCCAAGTGGCCCATCAGGCCGAAGCTTATCCCGGATTCTGCAGCATGAAGCGACTAGGAGTATTTCTACTCCTCCCTGGATGGGATGCTAGTCCACTGCAGGGTTAACCCCAGCATTAAGTTCGCCAGTACATATTTGTACACCTGGGTGGAGAGAGGCACCGTGAGAGTAAAGTGTCTTGCCCAAGAACACATCACAATGTCCCCGACCAGGGATCGAACCCGGACCGCTCGATCCGGAGACAAGCGCACTACCTCCCACAATGTGGGAAGGCAATAAAAATTATTGGTTTACACAGGTAGGTAAAACTTTTTTGAACTGAACTTCTAGTAGCGCTTATAAAAATTGTGTGATATCGAGAGGGTACTCAGAGTATTACTCACAGAGCTGAGAGACTCAAATTTGGCGAAACGGTTAGACACGAAAAAGTTGTAAGGCTAAAGCTAGACCTAAAAAGGCCCAACGGCTTAGAAAAATCTCCTTGTCCTTTGCGTGTAGTTTACACTTAATTTTTAACCATTTTTAACATAATAACATGCCACGCAATGCATCTAAAAGAGATAACGCTTGACAATGTGTGAAATACTGATAACCTTCGCTCACTCCTTCGCTTCCTGTTAGACACTTCAAACATCTGCTGATCAGTGCATAAGGCTTTCACACATGTTCACAGGCGCTTGCGCATTGAAGTCGAACTGATCACGAGTTATTCGAGAGGAAGACGATTTGCTCAACAAGTGATCTGATTTTTTGCCAGTTGTAGACTTTCTAAAAGTCCTTTCCCTCTCGCTTCGCTCGACAGAAATGATTAAGCGAAGGAGTGAGCGAAGGTCAACTTGTGGCAAGTTTAGTCATTTGTTAGAACTTGGAAAATACTATTTTCCAAGTTAAAGACGAATCCCAAGGCGCACTAACCTTGCAGTGAACGTTGCGTCTGCTCCTGTCTCAGACACGATTGCTGCTGGAATGGTGAGGGATGGCCGTGAGGTGTCCAGTGACCCTGCATATCCCGGGAGTGACGTCCTAAACAAACGTATAATAGCATTGAAATGAAGAAAAAAGGTGCAGCAAAAAA